CGCAGGGAACCGAGCTCTGGGCCGGATGCAAGTTGCTTCCTGAAACCCCTTTTCCAGATGACTTCCTACCCCAGACAAGGCTGGAAAAACAGGCCGTTGGACCAGGGCCACTGGGATCCCCTGGATCCCCTACCCCCCTATGCCCACCCCCTCCCCCAACCTGAACCCTATAACCCGGGTAGCCCGACCTGAGCGACACTGATAAGGGGACCGCCCCCGCCCCTGCCCTAGCTGACGTCACAATCCGCCCCGAGGATCTCGCAACCACCTTAGCTCCGCCCTGCCTTGCTCACCTCCTCCTGGGTCCGCTCTAGCTCCGCCCCCTCCACTGACCCGCTCCTCCCTCCCACCCGTGCCCCGCCCTTCCGTCCCCTGCCTAGTCCCGCCTCTGCTCAACTGCCGAGCCGGGCCAAAGGAGTAAAGAAAAGCATCCAGCAGGCTGGAAATGTGGAGAGCCCAGCTCCAGATCTGCTTTCCTCCAAGGCGTTGAGGAGGGACGAAGATCTGGCCGCCAACTCCACCTGGGGCCGAGGAGGCTGGCCCACTGCAGCCCAAGGCTGCGTCCTTCCGCAGGCAGAGATCAAGTGGAGGATTCTGTGTAGTAGGACCCACTCTGGGCAAGAAAGGGGAGAACCAGATGGGATTCCTTCAACTACACCCTCGGAACCAGCATCCACCTTAGCCACCTGGGTGCATCTCCTGGGCCAAACTCGCAGTTCCTCTAGGGGAGTACAGTTTGAAACTGGGCTTGTTCACACAGGAATTCCACTGGCTAGCTAATGCAGTTATTGCCTCCACAAGCCCTTTTCTAGTCTCTTTGAATTTATTCCATTTAAAGCACGACCCATTGGCCCCTTCCTCCTTTACTGCGTGAAGCCTCCTCCTATTCTCTGAATTCCTGTAACAATATCTTTAGTAGGATATTAGCACTTGGAGTGAGTTCGAATTCCAGTTCTGCCACGTTTAAGCAGTATTACTTTTGGCCTGCTGTTTTAGATGTTTGAATTTCAATGGTCTCCACAATGTTAAGTGAAATAAATAATACAAAAACTTAAATAGTGCATATTTTCTATAAGAAACTCATGAAGTGCTTGGTGGCACAAGCCTGTAACCCCAACACTGGGAAGGCTGAGGTGGGGCTTTGAGTTCAAGGCCAGCCTGAATTACACAGCAAGACTCTGTCTCTAAACAAATAAATATGTGAATGAATAGCAGAACAAAAGATAATAGGAAACAGGGAGGTAGACCTTTTACAGATGGGAAGGTGACACCAAGAGATGGAGAGAGAAGGGAGGGGCAGAGGAGAAGGGGACTGGCAAAAAGAATTAAGATGTGTTATGAACATGGACTAAGTGCCCATGATGAACATAATCATTAAGTACCGCAAACACGGACTAATAAAATTTTAAAATTTTAAAAAAGAAACACAATGGTCTCATTTGTTAAAATTTGGATAATGCCATCTACCCCATAAGGTGACTTAAGTTCAAGAGCACTTAGTAAGCCAGGCATGACAGGCACCACTAAAATCGCAGCACTGTAGAAAGCTGAGGCAGGAGGAAAGTTCCAGCCCATCCAGGACAACTGAATGACTCAGTGATCACCTGTCTCACAAATAAAGACCTGGGGAGATAGATAAGTGCAAAAGCCCTAGGTTCAATCCCCAGTGAAGGTGGAGGGGGATCACTTAGCACATTTTCTTTTTTTTTTGGTACTGGGAATTGAACTCAGGACCTTGTGCTTGCCAGGCAGGTGCTGGTGCTTGTGCCACTGAGCTATATCCCAAGTCCCACGTTTGCTTATAGGAAAGCACTTAAAGAATTTTTGCTTTCACCATCATTTGAAAATTGTGCATTACCTTGTGTTCTTGTCTTATGTTTTTATCTTCCTAGATGGATAAATTACTTGTTGAGACAGTCTAATATTTCCTACCATATGTGGTACAATATTGAGCATGTGGTTACAGCTCAACTAATGTTCATGGAAAGAGTGAAAATCAGTTCTGCTCATTTGGGTCCCCCATGTTTGATCCTTAACCAAGTTCATGTCAGACATCCCAAATCATAAATCTATGGTTTTACTTTGCCACTCAACTAAAGCATCCAAGCACTCATGAACTCACATAGTTTGACTTAAAAATATACTTGCTCTTTAATTATGCAGCAATGCAGGTATGTACCTACATGTAGAATTTGGTATGGCCTGGGGGTAGGTAGAACTAGACATTAGGTTATGATAGTTAACTCCCTTTTGGAATGTTAGCATGTATTTTTACTATAATTTTCATGTATTCTTTGTATTTAAGAGTTTGGATAATTTACCTTTTATTATTTTGGGGGGTCCACATTAGGTACTTCTTAGGAATATATATTACAGGGCAGAGCTTAAGGTGGAAACCAATAAATGTTTCTCTTGGAGAGTTCAGGTCTTTGGCTCTAGAAAGGACTACATCTTTAGACCCAGAGGAGAGGGTGAATTCTGAATCAATTTGCTAAAAACATCTAAAATTCAATTATTTTTTACAGCAATTCAACTTTAGTTGACTGGAGCTCAACTGGTTTTCATTACAGCATTTTAAACAATGCTAAATTTGTCTCTGTTGCAGCTTCCTATAGCTAGTTTGAGACTGAGAGGTAAGGCAAAGCAGCACTAGGGAGCATAAGATTTCTTCACAATGAGGAACATATTTATTAAATATATTTAAAAGAATATATTCTGGGAACTATACATTCAATTTTGATCTGCTCTGACTTCTTGATGCTCTGACTTCAAGATGTATCTTCTTTTCCAGATACATCTGGACACTTAGGTTAAAAAATACATGGATAAGAATTCTTCACATTCATGATTATGTTCTTCTTAGGCCCACTCAGCTTTCTTCTTTCTGTCCTTTAGACTCCAACTACAGAAACAAGAATCTGAGGCAAAGATAAACTGAACAGTCCTTCCACATTGTTATAGAGACCAAACAACATCAAACAAATCCACTTGTGGAAATGGTCATTTAGTAAAGTAGATCTTCATTGAACTAATCTCCAACATTCTGACCTGCCTCCTAGGTGATCTTGTTAGATACAAACTAAGTCACCAAGTGGAATAGTCTTGGCACTTTTTGATGAGAACAATCATGATACAGTACTTCCCATTGAAGTGGACAAAGTTGCTGTGTGGGATTAATGATTGCAGTGTGTTTAAGGGGAAAATCTTCAATGTTCTGAGGAAATAGTTCTTCAAATACTGCCCACTGGTCTGCCACTCCTTCCTCCTGATAATGGCTCCACCTCTATCATTTCACAATACAGTCTTAAAATGTGGGGCCAGTTTTAAATCCAAAGTAGGAAGCTTCTCAGGAATATTCATTCTTCCAGAAGGGGAAGAGGAGGGAGGAGCGAAGGAGGGGGAGGAGGTAAGAAGGAGGAGGAGGACAAGGAGCAGGAGGAGAAGACAAGAGCTTTTGGCTGAAGGAACACAGACTAGACATAAAATGTAATAGGAAAAATAAGGGTGGGTGGAATCTAAGCAACATTGGAGAGTTTCCCTCTGTGGACATTGTGGCTACATAATCTGCTTCAGGACATTGATTTCTGAAGTCTCACTATTTCCTCCAAATCTGGAGTGTCCCACCACCTGCTAGATCAATGTAGTATATAGCCTGTGCGGGGGAGCTAAAAACCTTAGAAGGACAGATTGCTCAGAGACCTCTTACCTGGCTGAATCAAGCTTCTCCCATTTGTGGCTCCCATATGCTAACCAGCAACCCAGAGCCCCCACATCTTGTCCTCACCATCTGGAAATCCTACTGTTTGATGCTGAGGAAGTAGACACTTAGAAGAGATCTGACTGAGTCTTGTACATTGTGTGGCAACATGCATTAGAGAGAGACTCTTGAAGAGCACAGGGGCTGGGGTTCAATCCCCAGTATGCTGTACTGGCCCTGCCCCCAGGACACTCTGAGTTGGTGATTGAGACTGGGCATGGTAGTGCACCCCTGTAATCCCAGTGCTTGGGAGGCTGAAAACTGGAGAATCACTATGAGTCAGATCTACATAGTGAGACCCTGTAGACCCTGTACTAAATACATAAAAAAGAGAGACTCTTGAAAAAGCAATGGGAAAATGATAAAGAGACTGAGAAACTGATTTGTACCAGGGACTGAACTCAGAACTTTGTGCTTACCAGGCAAGTGCTTATTCTACTGAGCTATCTCTCCGGCCCCAGAAACTGATCTTATGATGCAAGACAACCCTTGCTCCAATTTCACAGTCCCAGGATGCTCATTGTTCCCCCAGATATTCCTGTTGTGTTGGTCTTCATTAAATACCAGTTAACATTTCCATGCCACACCACCAGGGAAACATACTCCAAATAGTTTCTTTTTGTGAAAATTATCAAACTTAAAGGACTTAACTGCAAATTTATTTCACTGATTTTAACATTTGTGTTGATTTTAACACATAAATACAAGGAATTAAATAAATCAGAGAAGAAACATTGCAAAGATGAATCAGCACTCACAGAAAGGTATTATAGTATTACTATGGTTAGTCAGATACAACATTCTCTTGAAGTATATGCAAGGGAGCCTCAATGAAAGACCCAAGTAAAGGATTTTGAAATGCTCCTAACAGGGGCATACTTGAGGCACTGCTCAAGCAGTTGTAAGTGGGAAGTAGGATTATCCTATATAACTACTGGTAGGAGCAAACTGGTAGGGTTTGATACATGTAGAAACAACAGCATCTCACAGGACAGTTTACTGTTCCTAGAAGCTGCTCCCCCTTGTCTCTTTGTCTCTATACACTCTTCAGGACTTGACATGTTTTTAAAAAATAATTAGAAATCTGGCTGAGCCAGAGAGTACCAGTCATATCAAGCAGTTGCCTTTTAAAGAAGA